CTGTTAAAGGGATAGTTTACCCAAAAATGGCCATTCATTCCATCATTCACTGCCATTATAAAGCTTGGACAAGCCAGGACTCCAATTGTATTCGTCTGAAAGAAGAAAGTCATATACATCTACGATGGCTTGAGAGTGACTAAATCATGGGGTCATTTTAATTTTTGTGTGAACTATCCTTTTAATTTTGCTTAAATACATAATACATGGAATAGTTTTGACGCTGTATTATTGATTGTTTATGTTGCTAAGGGTGTTGCGCAGTGATACACAGAACTGTTGGCTGAAGCGGTCTTAGCCATGGTTTATTGTGAATAAAACCGCTTCTGACCAATCAATCGTGTAAGAACACACCAAAACAGTATTATGTAAGATTAATAAAAGTGGTGCAATGAGGAAGTGATTTATAGAGCACATGTCAAGGTCAGTAAGCCTCTTCAAATATCAGATAATTTGACCTTTGGAGTTCAAAGTAAGGCTAGTTCAGGATCAAACAAACAGGCAGTTGCGCCTCAAACTCACGCCATTGACTGAGCTAGAAGTTGACATGTAGGTCTTCTCAAATACCATTTTGAAATCACCATTTTGGGAAATTGGCCTACGAATGGCTTAGTTATCTCTGCACATTAAACTGTTTGTTTAAAGATTGTTTTTATCATTTTTTTTTAGTAACTGTGAATCAACAGTTGTATAAGGTGTGTGGTGTGAGCTGGTACAATGGAAGCTTCTGAGACAGAAGGCCGCACCTTCATGCAGGCGATCAGTGAGAAGTACAGCCCAGAAAACTTCCCTTGCCGTCGGGGTCCAGGCTTGGGGGTCGTGGTTGTGCCGTCTAGACAGCAGGGATCACCTATGAAAGGTGAGGCTTGGGTTAGTTAATAACAAGTCATGTAAGATTCCTTGGTGATTTTAGTGTTTGCTTTGGCAGCTGCATCCTGTTGCTGTGTTTCATAGTTCATTAGTTATGTGGTCATTCTGCCTTCAGACCGTCTGAACCTGCCCAGTGTTCTGGTTTTGAATGGCTCTGGAATCAGTCATGCAGGTGAAGAGGGAGAAATTGCTGCCTTCTGTACTCATGTAATTGAACTTGATCTGTCCCACAACAAGCTCCAAGACTGGCTTGAGGTGAGTTCTGAGGTTCCCCCCCCCCACACACACACACACACATTTTATAATATATACTCTGTCATCTTCATTTTGTTCCAAATTCATTTGCTGTTATACTTTTTTTTTGTTATAATAAGCAACCTTATGTTGTAAAACAGCAATTAAAAGTGAAGAGGCTGTCAAGCTCCAAATAAATAATAAAAGCACCATAAAAATAGTCCATATGATTCATGCGCTGTATAGCTTTGTGTGAGAAACTGACTTAAATGGACTGATTTAAGGATCTGTAAATATAGTATTAATAAATAAACATGCATTACTGTTCAAAGTTTTGGGGTCATTAAGATTTTTTTAAAGACATGAATTTATTTTTATTCAGCAAGGATGTATTAAATTGATCAAAAGTGGCAGTGATGACATTTATAATATTTCAGAAGATTTCTGTTTTAATTAAATTATGTACATATATATATATATATGTGTGTGTGTGTATTATAAATTTATATATATATAATATGTCTTTTAACCCTTTAATCTGTTCTAGATCAGCAAGATTGTTTCTAACATCCCTAACCTGGAGTTCCTGAACCTCAGCTCTAATCAGCTGAGTGATGCAGTCTTGGAGCCGGACTGCGCAAAGGCCTTCTCTAGCATCCGCCGCCTCGTTCTTAACAATACCCAGGTGTCCTGGGATACAGTGCACACATTCACACAAGAGATGCCTGAGTGAGTCACACTTTGAACTCTTGATGTTTTTGTAATTTTTTTACTTGTATTATGTATAACAATTACCGGTGGTGTACATGTGTGGTATTGATTGCTGTGGTCAGTTTGAGATTTTTGAGACATTATGGTTTTGATTTGATTTCTTTTTTCACATACAGAGTATTTTAATGGCTGTCTACATGCAATCCTGCAAATGTCTTGAATAAATGATTGATTTATCATTTATTTTCATTGTATCGTCATGATACTATTGATTCTCATGGGATTATCCACTTTACCATTTTACTTTATTGAACTGTAAATTATGTTTGAGAGAATTCACTTTGA